TGTATTCCATGGCTGGCTGGCTGGCAGCTACCTGGCTTCTGGCCCCAGGCATGTCTCTCTTTTTCTCCCTCATTTTCTTCTTCTTCTCTCTTCTTCTCGAGCCTAGATTTCTCCTCCTACTTATTCTCTCTGCCCACCAGCCCCACCTATCCCTCTCCTGCCTAGTTATTGGCCATTCAGCTTTATTAGACTCATCAGGTGCTTTAGGCAGGCAAGGTGAAACAGCAACATATCTTTACATAATTAAACAAATGCAGCACATCTTTGCATCTTTGCATAATTAAACAAATGCATCACAGACAAATGTAACACATCTTTACATAGTTAAATATTCCACAACAGGCTCTTCTTCATAGGGCCCCATCAGATTAGGCCAAGTCAGCCTGAATAATGCAGAATATTTTCTCTGTTTCAAGGTTAACCAACTATTAATTTTAATTACACCTGCCAAGCTCCCTTTGCCATATTCAGAAGACAAAAGCAATAACAGCCAAATTTCTGCCTATTATAATCTTTTGGGAGGAAGCAACTTGGATCCCACTTTCACAGAGGGCACAGAATAGGAAGAACTCAGAGTTGAGTCTTGGAAACTAGAGAATGATCACAGTCTCTTGAAGCACAGGAGCCTCAGAGTGCACCCCCTAAACGAGTATAAGCTTGACCCAAGGACATCCCCATCAGCCCTATCAGAAGATGACAAACTCTGCCCAGATGGCCAGAGACATTTGCAAGACCCTGAGTTGGGGAAGAGAAAACAGCCAGGAATCCATAAAATACAGCTGAGATCAAATCCTCTGAAAGTTAGATGGTTAGAAACTTTAATGAAACTTGTAAAACCCACAGTATATACAGTATTTTTCACACTGGTAGAGGCATTGGTGACTGCAATACATATGTTTTACTCTTTGGTTCTTATAACAGTATTAGGAAGCTTATTATTATGCTCATTCTTTCCAGATCAGGAAACTGGAGCCCATAGAACAACTGAAAAATACTAGTTTTGATTTTTTTTTTTTTTTGAGGAGTTACTTTATGACATGTTCTGGGCCACATGCATTGTCTCAGTTCATCGTTTTTATCTCCATGTTTAAAAGAAGAAACTGAGGCAATGGGATTAAATAGCACACCCCTAATCACTGGGCTCCTAACTCACACGAAAGGAAACCTAGATTTGTCATTTTTATTTTATTTTATTTATTTGTAAAGGAAAGAGATAACCTCAGCTTGGGGCTAAAGGCATTCAAGCTCCCTCCTTTGCAGGGAGCAGTGCTTTTGATCAGTCACTATGGTAACCAGGGGAGACCAAGTCATTCCTGTGAAGCAAAGCTGTGACCCGACCAGACTCCACCGACAAGGCTGCCCATTGTGATGAAATACGATCTCAAGGATGCAGGCACAAATACGGGAACCACCTGCTATGCTGGAGAAGCGGGGGAGAGGGCAAACGTCTACACTCCTACATCATGTGTGCTGCTAGATTTGCACCAAAGTGTCAAAATATGTCAAGGGCTTTCCTGCTGAGATCATGGCTGCCTTGAGGTTTAGCTCTTCTCTCTTCTAACAGACCTAGGGCCTCATCATCTTCTCTTCAAGAGTCATGAATGCAGGATACTGCTGGCTGAAATTCAGGGTGTTCACCCCCTCCTATTTTTCCAGTTAGCTACTCTCCTGCAGAAAAATTATCAGCCCATGCGCGGCCTCCCACCCCCACCCCCGCTTCTGTTTTCTTTATTTCTTTGTGTTTGACTGCTAACCCTGAAAGACATGAAAACAACTTCTCAAGCTTGGAAAGGAATCAGACTCGTAGGGAGATTGGCTATCCACCCTGAGGTAAGAACTAATGCAAGCTCTAACAACAGGAGACAAAGTGGGTGGATTCTTGCTTGGGGCTCAGGGAGTTTAGCTTGAGTCTGGAATCAGGGATGGATTGTCCAGCCGGGATCAAACACAGGGCTCAAGTCAGGGAACCTGTTAAGCCAGACTGAAATACAGCCGGTGAGACAGAGCATGTGATTGTAGCCAATCAGACTTGAGGTTTGCTTCTGAAGTAGCACTTACTAGCTGGGAACCCCTCAGCCTGTTCTACAAAATCTTTCCGAGCTATTGAGAGCAAATGCTAGAGACTTAAAAATGTGAATTGATTTATGAATGTAAAATTCCCACCAGCACCTGGAAGACAGCGATTTTTCCATAATGAAAACCATCTATCACTATCACTCATGTGCCTCTACCTGTGATTTTGCTTTTAAGCATTCTAGCTCCTGTGGGCCCAAGAGTCTGTGGCCTCTGAGCTCTTCAGGTAGTACCAGATCTGGCCAGCAGAGGGTGCCAGGTTCTTCCTCCCCCTTACGACCCTCTTCCAAGCTTCAGAATTACATTACTTTGAAAAACTAGGGGAAATACCCAGGAAGAAATGAAATTTGAGGGGCAAGGATAATATTGGAGGGAACTGTGGTCCTGAATAATCAGTGGATGCACTTGTTAAGACTTTTTAAAAAATTTTAGATTTATTATTTTGTTTTATGTGTATGTACATGTATGTATGTATGTATGTGCCTGGTACCCTTAGAGGTAAGAAGAGGACTTCAGATGCCCTGGAAATGGAGTTACAGGAGGTTATGAGGCACCATGTGAGAGCTGGGAACTGAGCCCAGATTCTCTACAAGATTAACAAATTAACAAGTACCCTCCTAATCTCAGTCTGTTGCTCTCAGCCTTCTCCCTTCACCAGCAGGTTCCACAGGAGCACCAGAAGCTAATAATTTGGGGACATTCTTGGAAGCTCTCTCTGAGTGGCTTTCCTTTGGCTCTACTAGCTCTCAAGTGAGGCCTTGACCTGGTAGATCTCTGGCCTCCATTGACCAGTTTTGAGGGTCCAGTCTGACACCAAGTGTGATCAGTCAGCCAAAGATACCTTGGCACGTGGCTCTGCTCTCCCCCAGGATGAGTTCGGGGACCTGGAAGGCCAGTACTGCCCCTGATTTCTTCCCTCTGCCCAACATTACTGCCTGCTCTGACTCCAGCTGGCTGCCTTCCCAGCCATTTTCCTCTTTGTTTAATTATGCCAAGAGAAGAGCCTCCTGTGTGGGCAGGGATTGCGTAGGCAGGAGCTCAACACGGAAGCATATCCACGTATCATAGAAATGCAGAGAAAGCCTTGAAAGGTGCAGACTAGAGAGAAGGCAACCTAATCATACCCAGAGAAAAGGACTTAGGAGTTGGGGAAAGGGGTAAGCTAGAAAGTCCCGGGACTAAGATGCAATTTATCTCCTGTGTGGACCTAAACTCCGTGTGTGTGTGTGTGTGTGTGTGTGTGTGTGTGTGTGTGTGTGTGTGTGTGTGTGTGTGTCTTAGAGCTTATTACATGACCCTGACTCGACTCTGTGTGTGAATGGTAGGCTTCTCAAATAAACCACTAGTATTTTGAGGACCTGTCAGCTGCTTAGAACTGTAAGTATCTTGTCCCACAGGTTGTCTGCCTGGGTATTAGGTATTATTCTCTCTTTGGCTGCTTTTTCTGAGCATTTACTAAAGTTCACCTACCTCAGTTGTGATGTTGAATATTGAAAGAAGGATCATACCTGTGTTACTGGGTCAGAGCATGCCTGGGAAATATAAATTGTTCTAACCACGAGAGTCAAGTTTAGTGGCCCAGAAGCCCCAAGGCCCAAAATAAAAGCCAAATACAACCTTGGCAGGTCAAGACTTGAGTTACAACAGCTTCTCTCAGCTGGAACCTGGCTCTGCTCAGGACATCATGTGGTTTGACATGCTTCTTGAGCACATGGGTTTCTGACCAATTCTAGCATGAGGATCCAAGTCTTGCCTCTGAATGTTCATACTGACTTTGCAGCTTCTTTCTTGCTCTTATCTAAACCCTCCCTGTTTCCTGGCCCTGTACAACCTTCTCTCCAAACCCTGGAAGGCCCTTGGCCTGGATAGAATTTCCTCATTTGGAGTAATGAACATCTATCCCTTTAATACATTTTCACCCCCTTCCTATCTCACCCAGGGAAATCCCTCTTCTCCACAGTAGCTATTAGTTTTATTTTTCTATTTATAAAGCACTTCATTGGCTGAGAATGTAGCTCAGTGGTAGAGTGTTTGTCCAGCCATGAGCAAGGCCCTAAGTTTAATCTTTAACACTGCTGAACTAATTAACTGAACAACTTTTACTAGATCAGAGTTTTCACAGGATTTCCTGACCATCACCTCTGTTACCCAGCAGTAGTCAGATAGAGGAGAGGAGATTAGCATGGTGCAGAGATGAGACCAACATGCTATGCAAAAGAAATTATCGACTATGACGAGCTACACTTCAGCATCTTGATCACCATTCTTAAGGACTGTCTTCAATGGCTTCCTGTCTGGACTGTTTCTTTGGTGAGGGGGTGTCACAGAGTTTGACCATGCTCCAGTGAGTATATGGTTAACCCCAAATAGACTTGGTGTATTTTTTTTCTTTTGGTGGGGGGAGAGTGAGCCTGGGAGGAATGGGCTTCAAGTGTCATCAGGGCGTGTTGTATGAAATGCCCAAATAATCAATAAAAATATTATGTTTGAAAAGAAAGTTACCATCAAAGAAGAGGAAGTGAAAAGATTATAAGAGCCAGAGGTGGTAGGTAGGCAAAAGGAAATGGCCTCTTTCAGACACAACAAGGCTGGTGCACTAATGAACCACAGGCCATGTTTTTTGTGTGCTTTTGGTTGGTTGGTTGGTTGGTTGGTTGGTTTTGGTTTGTTTTGGCATTTTTGTCTTTGTTTTGATTTGGATTTTGAGAGAGAGAGAGAGAGAGAGAGAGAGAGAGAGAGAGAGAGAGAGAGAGAACATGAAGTTGGGTGGAAACGGGATGTGTAGGTTCTGAGAGGAGTTGGGGGAGGGAAAGAATATGAACAAAATATAAAAATGGAAATAATTTAAACCTCTATTAAAAAGAAAAAAGAAAAATGTTCAGCAATTCAAGGTTCCTGAAGCTAAGTATGACCCTTCATTTACAGCCAAGCTCTGAGTATAAGAATGAGGAAAGATATTTAAAAAAGTAAAGAGGCCTTTGATCCCAGCACTCAGGGGGCAGAGGCAGTTGGATCTCTGTGAGTTCGAGGCCAGCCTGGGCTACAGGGTGAGTTCCAGGACAGGCTCCAAAGCTACACAGAGAAACCTTGTCTCAAAAATCAAAAACAAAAACAAACAAACAAACAAAAACAGGGAAAAAAGTAATGAAAGGAGTATGGAGGGCTGAAGAGATGGCTCAGCGGGAAGAGGGCTTGTCACTCAAGCATGGGGGCCTGGCTTGGGATCCCCGGACACAGCAGTGTGTGTCTGTAGTCACAGCCCACCCACAGTGAGATTCCACTCAGAGACACGTGACTCCCAGAAATGTGTGGACCAGCTAGCCTATGCAGTGACAAACAAGAAGAAACCCAGTCTCCAACAAAATGAAAGGTGAGGACTATCACCCAAGGTGACTTCTGGCCTCCACACCCATGCCAAGGCACATGAGTGCCAGAACCCACAGGAATGCATTTGCTCACACATATACACAAATATCTTTCTCTTGCTCACACATATACACAAATCTCTCTCTCTCTCTCTCTCTCTCTCTCTCTCTCTCTCTCTCTCTCTCTCTCT